AATTAAGAAAAAATAAAGTTGCGCCCCAAATTGTAATCAATTTTTTCATATATAATTCGGGTTTCAATAATTTACTTACCAGGGTACTCCTTTCTAAATATATTTGGCATGATTTATTTCTAATTATAAAGAGGTAAAGAAAATAATAAAAAGAGCACTTTAAAATAAAAATATTTAAGAAAAAACAAAATATGCTTTTTTACCAAATACATCTATTTCTTTCCGAACACTTCTTAATATGTCATAATAAATACAAATATATTATAGATACAATTTGATAACGTTAATTTTTAAATTGTAAAATATAATTAAAACCCAAATTGTTATTTTGAACTTTTTAATAACAACATGTTTACACCAAATGTCCCAATTGAGATAAAAAACCATATGAGATGAAAGTTTAACTGAAGTACTCGACAAAAGCAGAAGATTATTTTGTTGTAAAGTTTGTGGGTATTTCCCAAACAAAAATGATGCTTCCGAACATTACGTGACACACCATGAATGTCAAAATGTGAAAGTTAGAAAAATAGTTGAAAATGCATACAATGCGGGTCAATAAGCCGGTCACTACAAATCATTCGGAATTGTAACACCACAACCACACACTAAAAAAGTTGTGATAAAAGTTTAGTTGATGGAGGAAGAAAACTCACAAATGAATTGGCAATGTTGTTTGTTGCCAATAACATAGAATCAAAATATCACGTGTTAAAAGATATTATATCTTTGTGTGCTGACTCGGTTAAGCAGTATGGCGTTGAAGTACTTGAAAAGGTACGTTCAAGTCATCAAATATTAACAAAAAGAGTAAGCGAATTCTCAAATAGTTGTATTGTTATTTAAAAATTATAATTATTAACACTTTAAATAAATATAAAATTGTGTTGTAATTTTAGTTTTATATTAAATTGATAACAATTAAGTGGTTTTTGATTGTAAAAAAAGGATTTAAAAACAGTTGAGGTTTTATTTATTTAAAAGCAAAAGTTGTCCTGGAATAATTATATGTTTTAAGTAAATAATAAAAATTACATTCTATTAACACGTGTCATTTTTTGTTGATGTGGTGAAACGTGGTGGCTGGTTTTTTGAAAAAGGAGGACCCTGTACTTACTAACAAAATTAATAATTCATTTAAACTATGCGCTATTAATTTTAACCCTCATCAAACTTATTTCCACATTTCAAAAATCCTAATAATGGTAATGTCTTAACATGTTGAACCTTTGTCTTTTTGTTTTATATGAAAAAAAATAAAAAA